TTTCCATGCACATTTTGAGAAAATTTTTCAAAAAATGTTAGACACACTTTTAGGTCCGCCATTTTGTGGTATTTGTTTGGTGCTGAATGTTGAATAATGGATAAGTCAAGTTTTGGGTAGAGGTAATTCGTTTTCCATAAGTTTTTGGTAGCTTTGATGAAGCGTCTGGGCCTAGGTCATCTTTGGTCTAGGTCTGTGTCAACTTTACGTTACGCTAGAAACTTGAAAAAGCGAAATCCTCAACGGTAGAGTATCAACCAGTTCAAAAACCATCACATCTAAAATGTTCAAAAATTTAACCCTCGAATCACCAACCAAAAACCGGTCGACCCAAGTCACTGTTCGCCAAAAGTGGTGCTAAACCCTCCCCCAGTTGAACTGGTTCACTTTTGATCCACACTTGTCCAATGATATAACCGTTACTAGATGATATTTAGTATTTAAAATTTCAATATGGCTGAAAAATGACCCGGCCCACCTGGGCATGGGGTTAAATAGCACCCCTTTTCGAAACACAATTATCGTAACCCGTCTACAAAACCTCTTAAAGAAACAGTGCTGATCCGAAGTGATCCCTACAGCAATTGGCTCAGCGGTCAGGGTGTTCCGAAAGTGATCCAATCTGAACAAACTACCTACCAAGGTCATCAAACGCCACTACGGAAAATTGCAGAAAGTAACGTCTACGTGTTCACTCGTGACAGTCGTATTTCCCCCTCAGAATGGGGCAGGAATAAGGACAAGGTAACGCAACGGCCTCATCCCCGGCGGGGTTATTTAGGAATTCGCGTAGACCGGATGTTATCCGGGCACAGAGGTTGGGTGGATGGGTGGGGGAATGAAGCAGTACACACGAAACGCAACCGCAGCCGACACACTCACGTTTCAATCAACCCTCCTCGGAGCCCGGAAGTCACGCGACGTTGAAATACCACCAGGCCTCTAACCGTGCCGCGGCGGACCGAATTCTCGCATCTGCCGTTGAACAGTCCGGCAGTCTGAGACCTCCTTCATTTTCCCCCGAGACCACCGCATCAACTCCGCCTAGGATATATTTATGTTGGGCAGCACCGAAGGAATGGGATGGGTTCGCTCCAACAGTCGAATCAAACCTTGTTCATTTCCGATTAAAATACGTCGCACACGATAGTTAGGAGGTATAATGTCAGCCAAGACTGGTCACCTATGTTATGAGGTGGGGCATGCAGGCTATATACGATTGATGACGCGAGTATGTCAGCCGTGTGACGGAATTCGAATCGGGACGACCCATTTCTTCTCAGATAGGAAACAAAAGCTTGTCCAGGATCACCAGTTTCAAGGGATTGGGTTAAATCGTTGACTACCACGTCAGTCTACGGTCTGAACTGAAAACATAACTGTCTGACAGAATGCTGAAGTGGATTTAATTAGGATCTACGAGGTTCGAAAAAAAAAACGGAAGTGACAGTTACTGTAACAAATCGAATTGTCGAAGTTGCAATTGCTTCGACTTTGTTAGAACTTTTATAGACATTGGTCCGACAGTCTACGTGCTAAATAATATTTATGTGAAAACTGTGTCAATATAATCCTTCGAACGGACCAGTTTCTGAACTAATATGTCTATAACAGATGGATACAAGTATGAATTCGTTCGATCGAGGAGGGGACCAGGTACTGTACGAGCCAACAAATCAGAAGCTGTCCGACGAAAGCTTGTAGACCTTTCAAATAGGCGGTCGAACAGCGTTGCGAGTCTCGGGCGTATGAAAATATTGGCCGTTTCTCATAGCTCGAAGTCTACGTTCTTCCGAACTTCCTCTCCTCGATCCAGAGGAATTCTTTTTGCCCCATATAATAGGTATCTAGTGATAGAAACTGTTAGCTTCCGCGTACGAAATTCAAACAAATGTGGTAAAACCGTCACATTAAAAATATAATTCAGTAAATTTTATAGTGTAAAAGAACTTGCTAAATTTTAGACAATGATACAAATTGACCCTAAAATATATTGTATTAACCTAGATGACGATGCCAGAGTCTATTTAGACCCCTATCGTATGTTAAGCTTAAACATTTCTTTCGGTACCTGGGAAGTGATGATTCACTCGTTTCGTCCTCGAAACATAAAAATTATTTGCCAAACTCGAAACGAACAAGCCCAGACGGGACGCGACTCAAAGCCATCGGTAGAACCCGGGGATCCGAATTTCCATCGATCAGGGAGGCAATTTAATCTCAAGCAGCGAATGGAAATGAATACCGTCTTTTTCTATGCGCATATTCCTTCGATGTGTTTTTATTGATTGATGGTAGACCCCGCGGCGGACAGATAAAACGAGAGAGAGTGAGCACGCGCGCGAGCGTGCACACGCGTTGAGGAACGGCACGATAAAAATGAACGCGTCGTTCATCAATAAAACTGTGACGCCGACAGAAATTTCGCCCTCGGACCATTTCAGAATCGCTGAATCCCCCGGCTACCGGACCGGAAGCTGTGTATCCCCGTGACTTCGGGTCGTCCATGATCATAATCATAATCAGATGGGATCCCCTAGTTCCTGTCCGCACGTCCACATATGATTATGACTGGCAGAGGCATCCTACACCCGCACTAAAATTATTGCACCGTGAAACATAACTTCAATTTATCCTATACCCCAACAAATTGTTCCACCTAGAAGCTCAATTTGAATTAATCCTACAACCCTATAAATTATTGCACCATGAAACTCAATTCCTATTAATCCAACACCCTATAGACTTATTACACCGTGAAGCTCAACTTGAATTAATCATATACTCTACCAAATTATTACACCGTGAAGCTTAACTTGAATTAACCCTATACCCTACCAAATTATTACACCCTGAAGCTCAACTTCAATTAATCCTGTACCCTCACCAAATTATTACACCGTGAACCTTAACTTGAATTAACCCTATACCCTATTAAATTATTACACCGTGAAGCTTAACTTGAATTAACCCTATATCCTATCAAATTATTACACCGTGAACCTTAACTTGAATTAATCTTGTACCCTCACCGAATTATTACACTCAAATTATGAAACTCAACTTGAATTAATCCTTGTGTATCCGACGTCCGGGTCAATTTTGACCGAGATCATAATTATTTAACTCTCCAAAATTGAAAAAAGAAAACTATTAGACTTGGGGTTCTGTGTTTTTTAAACAAATTTGAACATCATATAGAGTGATAAGTAAAACCGCCCCCAATTTCACCTGGACGACGTCACACTTCAATTTCAACGTACCTATCACCTGAAACAATCGATTCTTCGTGTACATTTAATCATGTTCCGGGTCGAATCAGTTCCCTCGCGTTACCAATGTCCACCGAACGTGAATCGTTTCGAAAAAAAAAGAAAATAGATCGTTTCTCAAAAGGGAAGATGGTGGTGGGACAATACGACGTTAAATTTGATTTAAGGGCAAAGGCACGGAAGTAATAGTCTATTATATTCTCACGGTAAGTTTACTCTCGGGGCTATAACCACCATTCGGTTCATAAACAATGGTGAAATTAACGATAAACTCTTGTATCACCGATCTTTGTGGTCAAAAAAACCTCTTCATTTCAAAAAAATTTCATTCCGAATCTGAAGCATTGTTTCCCGAAAATTATGTAAAAAAAAAAACAGAAAACACAATTGAATCCTTTCATTCACTCGGTCGAGGAGATCTCGTCGAGTGTTTCAGCGTTAACGAAGAATCGAACAATCGTGTTACCAGTCGCTGTTATACTTGTTTTTCTTTCTAATTTTTTTCACCGAATACCCACGACCCCCGTGGGGCCGTGTTTTGTTCACGGCGAACGAAAAGAATTCGGGGGTGGATAGGGGTAGTGGAACAATACGTTCGCTCGAATTGTTTCGGCCTCGGCATTGTTCAAGTTGAAAAACGAAAGAAAGAGAAAGACCAAAGTGAGAAAAAAGTATGCAGTTTGAAAACGTCACGAACGATTCCGGAAATTGAGCCAGTTATTCGTAACGGAAATGTGTCTCGCAAATGCATGTTTTGAATCGACGACGGGGTAATTGAAGAAACAAAATCCATTAAAAAATTGAATATAAAAAGCACGAGAAATATAAAAAAAAAAAATCAACAACAAAAACATCCCCCAACCAGGACCGCAAATTATGCGACACCCTGTACTCTCTCCCTCTCGAAATAATGACATTCCCTTTAAATACTTCATCCCCCAACCAGGACCGCCAATTATGGGACAACCTGTACTATCCCCCTCTCGAAATAACGACATTCCCTCCAAAAACATCATCCCACAGCTAGGACCGCCAATTATGCAGCAATTTGTACTCTCTCCCTGTCAAAATAAAGAGATTCCCATCAAAAACATCATACCCCAGCCAGGACCGCCAATTATGGGACAACCTGTACTATCTCCCTCTCGAAATAATGACATTCCCTCCAAAAACATCATCCCACAGCTAGGACCGCCAATTATGCAGCAATATGTACTCTGTCCCTGTCAAAATAAAGAGATTCCCATCAAAAACATCATCCCCCAGCCAGTCCGCCAATTATGGGACAACCTGTACTCTATCCATCTCAAAACAAAGAGATTCCCACCAAAAACATCATACCCCAGCCAGGACCGCCAATTATGGGACAACCTGTACTATCCCCCTCTCGAAATAACGACATTCCCTCCAAAAACATCATCCCACAGCTAGGACCGCCAATTATGCAGCAATTTGTACTCTCTCCCTGTCAAAATAAAGAGATTCCCATCAAAAACATCATACCCCAGCCAGGACCGCCAATTATGGGACAACCTGTACTCTATCCATCTCAAAACAAAGAGATTCCCACCAAAACCATCATCCTCCAGCCAGACCGCCAATTATGGGACAACCTGTACTCTGTCCCTCTCAAAATAAAGACGTTATGCTGATTCAGGCGCAAGGTGAACAATAAAGACTGGTCTTCGTTCTAACGAGGGCCCAGGCGAATGGAATGGATTCACTTACTTGAAAAAGTAGGTGTCGTTCACGTAGCCGAAGAAAGGAACAGTGTAGGTCAGCATCCAGATATTCCCTCCGCCGCAATCGTAGTACGGTTTCGACCACTTGCCGTCCTCGTATCTCACGGTCAGGATCTCGTCCTCCTCGCGTTCTGTGTGCGTGGTCTCGTTCAGTGTGTACGTGTGGAAGCCTGTGGGCAAGGAAACACAGCCGTCAATGGTGCGGGAGATTGAGACATCACCCAACCCCCCACCGCTTTGTCAGTGACACCGGGTCGACACCGCAGGACAAGGCCAATCGTCCTTGTAAAATGCCTTTTGCCTCTCGGGTTATGCGCCGGCGGAATCTTTTATTCCCGTGGTAAAAGAATATTTTCAGGTTGTACGATACGCCTGGGGGCACTTTGGAAAAATCGTAGCTTCAAAGGGAAGCGTGCGATGTATAAACATTGCGGGAGATGAGAATCAGAAACGCGTAAAGTAAGTGGACCGGAAGGGTGGATCGTTAAAGTTGGCGGAATGGATCAGAATCCCCCCGAGAGTCAGTGCAAGGTACTGTTTCTGATTGTCAGTTTACATAGGAACCTGGACACCACAAAAATTCATATTTTTTTGAAACAGTGTAGAATTGTTTTGGGGACCTCGATAAAAACGTCGAGCAATCTTTTGTTTTTGCTGGCATTCGGTTTTTCATGGTGATACCACCCCTTTAAGTTTAATTGCGATTTGGTTCCTAATGGTTTGATGGTGTTTGCTGGAGTCAGAATATTCTATATTATCTTCTAAAAATTAAAATGACAATGTTAATGGTAAATTATACATTTCTAATACATCATACCGAAAGTACCTAATTCTAAGAAGAAGTTGAGTCAAGATTATACCATACCCTAAGAAGTTAGGCCAAGATGATAGCTTACCCTAAATTTAAAAACCTTCTAATCATCATTCCCAGTCACCTCAAAGTCAAATGATTCTAAAAATTTCAAATTAAACGCCATCTGAAATCTCTGTTTATTTCTAGTCTTCTGAGTATGAAACTATTAAAATTTTAAGTAAAAACTATTGGATACTTCCAAGCTCTGTGACCAATTGAATCCATGAAACAGAGGATAAGCAACGCCAAAGTAAAAAGGGCCTTCGAGCAATCATTACTCATTCTACTTCACCCTATCGTTGTGTCTTATATTCTCAGCGTCTAAAGCTTGTTTTTCCGGAGCTTCTATTTCCCCCTTTCACGGCTGTCTCTCTTTAAATCTTCCCCGAGCAAAGGGGTTGAATCTCGGATCCAGGACTTGATATATTCTCCGGCACGGACCGTTTCGTGGGGCGTAGACTGGAAAATACGGTTTCGCGTGGATTTGAGCCCGGGAAATGCGGAAAACCGCGTGAACCGATGCCACACAGGCGACAAAGAAACGTGATTTCGTGGAATGGACACCAAGCGGAGGCTGTCTTTGAAGCCCATGAAAGTCGAGCTTTGTTGTAGCCAGGGACACCTGCTATGAGATAAGCCGCCTGCTCTGAGGTGGCCAATGAATCCGGTGGGGGTTGCAATATCCCCATAAAGGGGATATTATACCTTACCCGGGTCACTGTGAACCGGTTCAAAGAGGATATCTGATGATTTACAGGCTAACTTCACCGTCAGGAAAGAAAATTGCAACTTTCTAAATGACTTTGTTGCAGGTTATAAGCATCAAGAAGATCCCTGGCATTTTTAAAAAAAGGTTAGATCATAGGCTTTCTTTACTATATTGTTATAGGTATTGAATAGGGTTGATTTCGTGTGTTGACCTTCACGTGAGCTTGAGCATCAGAAGAAATGAATATAATACGCTTAACTAATATAATGTATGAAATACGCTTTACTAATATAATTGACCTTGCTTTGCGGCAGGAACAATATACAGGGTGTCTGTTTAATTACGAACATCCAAATTATTTCCACTACTTTTATAATTCCCCAACTATGTTTCCCTACTGCAATTATGTTCCCCAAATAACTGACTTAGTTCTTCCCCAGTTAGTGTTCTTAATATACAGGGTGTCTTACTACCCACGAACATCCGAATTGTTTCTACCGCGATTGAAAATATGAAAAACAAAAGTTTGAAAGGAAGTTACATGATTCGAGGATTAACCTCTGGTGAGAATGAAAACCCAGGTCCTCCAAGGTTATTCCAAGGTCATCTCAAGGTCATCAGTGTTTCTTTTATCGCAGAGAACGTTGGAACCACGCCTGGACGATAAATAGCTAGCCTCGAACCCAAGCCAATCCTCCCCCCCCCCCCCCCCCCCCCCCCCACCTCGCCGATATACAATCACAGCCATAGCTGGCCGCGCCTAGCATCAAGTTCGGCCACGGTCACCAAAGACACCCGAGTCAGCGGCAATAATTCAAGAGAACGGTGTCACGGCCAGTCGGGTCAGAAAGTGAATTATCGGACAATAAAACGCAAGGGATCGGGGAGTCGATCTCTGAAAAAAAGAGGCGTTGTCGTAGGTCAGGATCCACAGTTACCGTCGTGACGTGAACCAGGCGTTCACCGAATGGCGGTCGACGCTGTCTCGGAGCAGCCAGTGCAAATAACATTTCTCGCATTCCGGGTAGCACACGGCCGGTAAAGCCGAGCAATTTCTTCTTCCTTACATCCCCCCCCCTTCCTCCCAATGGACGGAAGCTCAGGGCAAATAAGACCGTTATCGATGTAGGGGGGGGGGGGGGGGGGTTAGATGGAGAAAGGAGAAGAAACTGAAGCGACGAAGGATACAACGGGTTCGATGCTGGTTATTTCCTTCATCTGGCGGACCATTCCTTCCGTCGGTTGTTTACGTAGCTCGCTGCTGGTCGCAGTTAATATCGAGGATCGAGACCAATGATGGACCCCTTTGATCCTCATCCTCCCGTCCCCACGAGAAAACAATTTTGCGTCACTAGCCGAAATTGTCCACGGGGCGAAAACTATTATTGCCCGGCCCGTGGTGGGGGGTGGGCGTTTAACAAGAATATAAAGTGCGAAAAACAACTAACGGTGACAACATAATAGCCCGCCTAACGCGATCCTCACCCCGCCCCGCGGTTTATCGCGTTTGTCGATTAAGCACTTCGCAGATTAAAAAGTTTATGGACGTTCGGGGCTGTAAATCAAGATTTATCTCGGTTCGGTGTTTTCTAGTGTACAAATTTGTGGGCCGGGGAATGGCGTGGGTAGTTCCGAAACAAGGGAACACGAAAAACTAGACGTTGTATGATATAGTTTTGGGTTTGTTGCGGTGGTATATGCTCGCTGGAATAGGGGCACGTTCGTGATGAAAAATGATCCTGATCGTAGATATACTTTGTGAATAAATAGTGGATTGTCGCAGAGCAACCAGAGAAATTCTGAATTCAGTAGAGTCTCTATTATCGGAACTAATAGAGCGACATGAACGTTCGGATGATAGAACAATCATCACTCTACTGATATTGAACTTCATTCATTTATATGGGGATCTACAAAAATTGAGAAGTTGCTTTTAACATTACAATTTAGGGATCCCATAGATTTCTAGCTGGTAAGTTACAGAAAATCTTTGGATCGAATTTGGAATTCGAGCAAACAGAAGGACATATCAGGGAAGCAATATTCGGATAGTAGAACGTCCGGAAAGTGGAACGTTCGCATAGTGAAATGTCCGGATTGTGGAATGTTCGGATAACAGAACGTTCGGATAGTAGAAAGTCCGGAAAGTGAAATGTTCGGATAGTGGAATGTTCACATAGGGAAATGTCCGGATTGTGGAATGTTCGGATAACAGAACGTTCGGATAGTAGAAAGTCCGGAAAGTGAAATGTTCGGATAGTGGAATGTTCGCATAGTGAAATGTTCGGATAACAGAACGTTCGGATAGTAGAACGTTCGGAATGTGAAATGTTCGGATAGTGGAATGTTCGCATAGTGAAATGTCCGGATTGTGGAATGTTCGGATAACAGAACGTTCGGATAGTAGAACGTCCGGAAAGTGAAATGTTCGGATAGTGGAATGTTCGCATAGTGAAATGTTCGGATAACAGAACGTTCGGATAGTAGAACGTTCGGAATGTGAAATGTTCGGATAGTGGAATGTTCGCATAGTGAAATGTCCGGATTGTGGAATGTTCGGATAACAGAACGTTCGGATAGTAGAACGTTCGGAATGTGAAATGTTCGGATAGTGGAATGTTCGGATAGTGGAATGTTCGCATAGTGAAATGTCCGGATTGTGGAATGTTCGGATAACAGAACGTTCGGATAGTAGAAAGTCCGGAAAGTGAAATGTTCAGATAGTGGAATGTTCGCATAGTGAAATGTTCGGATAACAGAACGTTCGGATAGTAGAACGTCCGGAAAATGAAATGTTCGGATAGTGGAATGTTCGGATAGTGAAATGTCCGGATTGTGAAATGTTCGGATGGTAGAACGTTCGGATAATAGAACGACCAGATAGTGGAATGTTCGAATAGTGAAATGTTCGGATAGTAGAACGTTCGGATACGGGAGGCTCTACTTAACCTATAATTTTCATCACTATTGACCCAGACTTTAGCTCAAGTGTGAAGAATGACACCCATTATAACTTCCCAACACAAGGCCAAAAACAGAAAGTCCTCCTAGAAATCCATCAAATTTTCGAAAAGACTCGATGTCCTTACTCGAAAATCTACTCCACTGATTCCAATTAAATGTCAACTACACCTGGCTCGCTGAAAACCAATTTGAATCAGCCCGTCGTGGAAATTCGAGCAATCGCTAGGTACTCGTGCCAGCCAAGTGTCCTCCACGCGAACTCCTCAGGTGCCTCGATTCCATCCAGGCTGATGTATAGCCATCTCAACCTGATTGACCAACGCCCCGTAAAATCGTCCTCCAGGAACGAAAAAAAAAGAAAATAAAGGAACCAAGTCCTCCGCGAAACGTATCGCATGGCAGCGAAAAAACGCAAACGAGCCGCGGCTAGGCTCTATTAGCGCTGCCTTAAATGGCATTTAACCGGGGGTGTGCTGCGAGCAATCTGCGTGGGAAACTTTCGTTTACATTTCCGTTTTCTCACGGCCACAGGCGAGAATGAGTTCCTTCTCGTTAAAGTTTCTTGTTCTGTTTCCGGTGTGTTCTCGCGATAGCTGGGTGGGAGGCGCAGCCGAGATTACTGGGAAACGACGGCCCTGGGCTCG